AAGTAATAGGATATAAAAGAAAGAAACTATAAAAGAAAATCAGGAACAACTTTCTCTACTAGTTCAAAAATTAATTTATATTATATACAATTTAGATTTATTAGGAGTCGGAGTCGGTAAAAATGTACCGACTCCAACTCCAGTAACCCAAGAATTGCTTCCGACTCTGACTGCAACTCTGACTTCACAGCCCTGGTGGGAGCAGGGACAAGCTGTGTTCCTGGGCTAAGCCTGTGGCGTTGATGGGGCATATATGTGCTGTTATGCTATTGCCCCCATTAATCAGAATTGGAAGCTTACCTGACACTTTGCTTATTGTCCAAGCCTGGAATGGCTGACATTTTGGATTTTTGAAACTGGAATTTGAGACTAAGACATGTTACATGAGAGAGTGTGAGATGGCTATGTGGATGGTCCTGGGGCATGGCCTGAAAATTAGCCATCTTACTCATTGTGCACATGATTAAAACTATTTGGATGATCTGTGGCCTGGAATGGATGTAGAGTAACATCTGAGGCTGGAACATCTGTATGTTCTTTCTATAACAGGAAAGCTGGTAGCAAAGTCCCAACTGCTTCAAGAGATGGCCCACAAGAGAATCAAGTGGTTGTTAAGTAGCTGCTAAGAGGCTTGACATTAATCTTCCCTGATATAAGAGGAATGTGCAAATTTTCCACTCCTGTGATATTTTGCAAACCACCATCCCCTGTGGGGTCTGATAAGTCCATTACAGGCTTAGCTGTCATTGAACTTTCCATTCCCAGTAACTTCTGTCCAAATGGCCAATGCGAAAGTATCTCTGGAGTTGTAACACAGTGTAATACAACAGTGTCTGTAGGGCCACACATTGCTTATCTCTGCAGGATGCAACTCTTCCACAGTGGGATTTGAGAACTCTGGCTGTATTGCATGTAGCGAAATACAGTACTTCCAGAAAATTAGTCCGAGGGAAAATTATTCAAGAAGGCAGAACTTTGTACATTACTAAATAAAAACCAGAGATCAGCATTGTTTGTGTTAAATAAAAAAGAACCCCACATCACCTCAGATAGTTGTTTTACGGACCATTGAGCTGTAACATGTGAGTGCTATTTAAACCAACCCCTCACACAGTATTTACTTGCCTTGGACTTTCAGCTCTCCAATTTATTTACTCTAACACTGTGTATTTTCTTGTAGTGTGAAACTTCCTTGGGTAGAGCAGGTGGTCAGAGAGAGAATGGTCAGATCGAGCAAAAGGGGCAGATTTTTATCAAGTGCCCCATTCTAGTAGTTTAATGCTGTATTACACATGACTGTTACACACATACAAAGACCCATTTATATATAGCTATGATTTAGCTAAAAGAAAACTTCTAATTTAATGCAGGAAGCCACCAGAAAAACGGAACAAATTACAAAAATTCTGCTTGAGTTGCCATTAACAGATTATTTCAGATTTCATCACCTGTACCTATAGCAATGTTTCTTTCTATAAAGAAGCTGGATCTCTGTAGGTGTGCCCCAAAAGATTATTGTGCTGTAAATGCCTACTTCTGATGCATCTCTCTCCTTCCCCGGTTCGCATTGCAGGGCGCAGCATTCAACTGATACTGTAGATCTTTCCTAACAAAAAGCGATGAGGAATCTATTTCACAGTCTGCTCCTTCTTACATTTCTGTTTAATGTTTACTGCCTGGGTAAAGCTGCCTGATGCCGCTGCTAGTCAGCCTTGTAGAAAGGAAATCAGAATATTAGCATGGCTCTTTTCCCAGCTGACAGTTGAGGTACAAGGTTAAGGTACAAGATAAAAAGAGCAAGGATTTCTTTCACCATTTTCCACGCATCAAGGTTATTATCAGTCTGGATCACCTTTCCCAAATTAATGGTTTCCAGCTGCATATCTCCTGTTATTTCTAACCTGCATCTTTGTTGGCTGCTGCTGTGTTTAGGTAGTACTACTGCATTATAACGATTGCTTTCTCTTGTACCTATCACAATTCTGTGTACTAATACTGCAAACAAGGAAAATCTGAAAAAGAACTCAGTAAGGACTGAGCATGCTCAATAGCTACCTAATACCTTAGTCTCAGAAGGTATATAGAAAACAAAGGCTGGAAAAAGTAGAAAAAAAGAAGCAAATGTTTAAAAAGGCAGGAACAATATAATTGTAACCCTATTTTCCAAGGATCCCTTGGAAGAAAGTGCAGTCTGACTAGTATCATCTTGCAAATCAGACCTATGACAT